AAGCACATGAAGAAATGTTCAAAATCCCTAGCTCTAAGAGAGATGCAAATCAAAACAACTATGAGATAACATCTCACCCCAGTCAGAATAGCAAAATTTAACAGAACAGCAAACAACAAATGCTGGCAGGGTTGTGGAGAAACTGGAACTGTTATTCACTGCTAGTGGGAGTGTAAAATGGTACAATCACTATGGAAGGTAGTATGGCACTTTCTTAAAAAGTTGGAAATAGAAATACCATTTGACCCAGCAATTCCACTAGCAGGAATATACCCCAAAGAAATCAGAACTGCCACCATATATATATGCTTCCCCATGTTTACTGTGGCTTTGTTTACAATAGCATAGAGTTGGAAACAATCCAAGTGCCTATCAACAAACAAATGGATAGAGAAGTAGTGGTATATTCATACAATGGAATACTATGGTGCATTGAAAATGGAATTCATCAAATATTATACAAAACAGGTGACCCTGGAGGACATTACACTGAGTGAAATATCTCAGTCACAAAAGGACAAATATTGCATAGTGCCACTGTAGTAAAGTGGGACTGATATTGGAGTTGGGGGAAACTAAGTGGGGATAAATAATGTATACTGCATTGAAACAGATGAGGGAGCGTACTGTATAGGAGGAATGCATGATTAGTTATTATTGCCATGACAAGAGTCCAGAATGAAACCTGCACAGTGGAGTTGACTGGGGGAAGGGGGGTTATATAACAATGAAAGAATTTTTTTTTAAAATTTTTTTTTTTTTACTTGTCAAAAAGAAAAGCGAACTGGGGGGATGGGTGGGCAAGGAGAAAAGTGTACAACAGTAAATGAATGGAAATTAAAAAAAAAAAAGAAAGAAAGAAAAAGAAATTCCTGTCATACCTGGCATACTCTGAGAGCTTGGTCCAAGACTGTTTTAGTATCAGTGTCATAATCTGGGCAAGGCAGCATGGCTCGGCTGAGATGTGCCTGTAGCAGGAGATGTGCTTTTGTGTGTGGGCTGTCAAATGAGTGAGGATTTACTTCAATGGGAAGACATTTTGCTAGTTCACTATTCATGTGATCTTCATTATGTCTTACTGGCAAATCTGTGTACTCTTCTGCATCCTGAAACACAAACACAAACAGAAATATGCATTAATCAGTTAGATAAAAATGTAATTAATATACTTCTTAGCTTTAACTGTTACCATTCCAAAGAAATTTACAAAACCCGTAAGATAGCTATATCCCTTAGAATTTGGCTTTCTTTAATACTATTACTCCTATATAAGTAAAAGTTAGTACTATGAGAATATATTTAAATTAACTGGAAACAGTTTGACCCTTTTAGGTTGTGGCTTTATGGTTTGTTAGGTATGTTCATAGTAGTACCCACTCAAGAGCGAAATATTCCTATAGTCTCTTAAGTAAATAATACTAGAATAAAAAAAAGACATAATAAAAAAAAAAACTTCTCTGTTTTTGCCAGTGATTTTGAGCATTTTTTCATGTGTCTGTTGGCCACCTGAATATCTTCGGTAAAAATTCTTTCCATGTCTTTCGCCCACTTTGTAATTGTGTTATCAGTCTTTGCCTTGTGGAGGTCTTGTAGGATTCTCTATAACTTTTGATATGAGACTCTTATCTGAAATGGTATTGCCAAGTGCTTTTTCCAAGTCAGCAGGCATTCTTTTCACTCTGGTGGAAAATATTTTTTATGAACACAGGGATTTAATCTTTAGAAGGTCCCATTAATCAGTTTTTATCCTCTCCAGATTGTGCATTTCTGGCTGTATTTGCAAGTCTCTTCAGACTAGACAATAAGAGAGATGCAAATCAAAACCACAATGTGGTACCATCTTACCCCAGTAGCAGTGGCAAAGTTTAACAAGACAGACAGCAAGTAATAAATGTCTGAAAGGATGTGGAGAGATAGGATCTCTCAGACACTTTTGGTGTGATTGGGAAATGGTGTACTCACTCTAGAAGGCAGTTTGACATTTCTTCAGAAAGATGAACATATAAATTCCTTATGACCCAGCTATTAAACTATTTGGAATATACCCCAAGAAAATGAGAACTGAGGCAAAAACAGAGATTTGTATACCAGTCTTCATCAGAGGGTTATTCACCATCACAAGAACATGGAAACAGACCAAATGTCCAACAACAATGGAATGGATTAAGAAATTATGGTACATTCACATGATGGAATCCTACACAGCATGCAGGAACAATGATTTTATAAATCACTAACCTGAGAGGGACTGGGTATTATTAAGCCAAGTGAACTAACTCTATCCGTTACGGACAAATATTGTAGAAGACCACTGTTGTAGAATGTGCATGAGGATCCAAAAAAGGGGAGGGTGAAAGCAGAGGGGTGAGAATGGGCTGGGGAGTCGGGGGAAGAGATTAATCATAGGGTGGGTAAAGGAAATGGGAAAGATCCAGTGTGAAAAACAATGTATATGATTTGTAAGTAAACCAGCATAAAATAAAAAATATTTTAAAAAAGAAACTTCAATATCAACTTTCTATAATATAAAAACTTAACTAAATATGGATCACAGCCTTAAATGTAAACATCCAAAACCAAACTAATGAGGAAAACATCTTTCTATCTGGGGTTAGGCAAAAATTTGATAGAAGATCTACATCATGATTCATAAAAGAACAAATTAATAAACTGAACTTTATGAAAATGAAAAAACTTTTGCTCTTACAAAATACAAAAATCTCTGTAAATGTTCATTAAAATTATTAAAAAAACCCCCAACTTGTAAATAAACCAAAATTTTAAAAAAAATACAATTAAGAAAATAGGAATATGTGTTATAGATGGAAAACATCTGCAAAGTATCTATTTGATAAAGAACTTATATTTAGATTATAAAGAACTCTCAGAACTCAAGTCAGAAAACAAACAGCTCAATAAAAAATGGGAAAAAGGTTTTAACAGAAAGTTTATGTAAAGGTGAGCAGTACTGTTAGTCACGAGAAAATGTTTATTGTTATTACAAGGTACCATGAAGTCAGTTACAACTCATAGTGATCCTATGAACAAAAGATTAGAATCTTGCCCTATTGTACAGCATCTCACAACACAGTCTTCACCATGCTCGAATCCACTAATATAGTCACAGTGTCAATTCATCTTCTTGGGGCTTCCTCTCCTTCTCTGATCCTCTGCCTTCACCAGCATGAGGTCTTTTTCCATGGACTTGGTTCCTCCTAACAACATGCCCACACGGTGTGAGAATACATTTCACCATCATCCTTGTTCCTAAGCAGCACCACAGGTGCACCTCCCCCAAGACAGATTTGTTCTTTTAATCTTTATTAAAATATCCAAAATGAAAAGAAAACAACCAAACCAACAACCAAAACCAAAACCTGACATACGAAGCGTCAGCAAGAAGGTGGAGGAATTAGAAGTCTCATATGTAACCGGCATAACTGCTGAAGAACAGCTTTGCCAACATTTACTCCATGATCTAATCATTCTATCCCAGGGACTTCTCAAATAAAGTCAACATGTACAAAAGGATCTGTACACAGAGGTTAATTGCCATTTTACTGGTAACAGTCAGAAAGTAATTTTTTATCACAGGAAAATGGATAAAACAAAAAATCCATAAAACGGAACACTACTTAGTTGTTATTGTTGTAATTGTTGTATTGTGCCGTCGATCGCTTATGACTCATCGTGATCCTATGTACAAGAGTCCTAAACCCTGCTCTATCCTGTGTCAACTCCATTGTCTCCGACACACCTACTGCTATTACCCCAATCACTGAATTGATTCATCTCATCAAGGGTGTTCCTCTCTGGCGCTGTCTCTCCAAATGAACACAATATGAAATAATCTGTATAATAATGTTGAATAAAAGAGATCAGACAAAATAAGACTTGTACATTAGAATTTCATTTATATGATATTTTGATGAATGAAAATCAGTGGTAGGAAGCATACTGACGGCTGCCTGAAGAATGGAGCAGCTGGAGAAGGGGGGTAAGATTTACAAAAGGACACAATATAGCTTTTGAATTAATACATTCTCACCTAGAAATGACTATGCATTAAAATATCTTACAAAAATATCATAATTTGGAATTCAGCATTATGAATAAACTGGGGCATTCTTTACCATATACGTATATCTTTATGTTTTCATGTTTAATATGTGACTGCCAAAATGTGGACTTTTACTGGTGTCAAGTATAAACAATGATGTTACTGTTTATGTGCCAGCAAGTTGGAACCAAGTCACAGCTGATCCTCCAGTGGGTTTTCAGAGGTGGTAAACTGCATGGGAGGAGACTGCCCATTTTTCTCCCGGGAAGTGGCTGGTGGATTTGAACATTTAATGAGAGTGAAAAGGTCTAGAAAGTTGGTAGATGTGGTGGTAAGAAGATAAATCAGCTTTATATGTCATTTATAGTCTGAAACGGTAATATTTTAAATTTCTTTCTACTGTTCAAAAATATAACTCCTCTCATCTTTTTCCAGAAGAAAAACACAATACCCCTTATAGTACTGCAAACTAAATTAGCTCTCTAGGTCTTGGATTTGTAGGAAATAGGATTAGATTTTAAAACTATATGCAAAATTCAATTAAAATAAAAATCATGTGGAAAATAATAAATTGACTGAACACACTAATTAGAAGCATTTTTTCAGTAATTCAATCCTCAGTAAAATATAGGAATATAATTTTAGATATACTTGTCTTATTCAAATTTAATTATGCATGAGAGAAAGAAAAAAGACAACATAACTGGACTTATCTGCGCTTTAGTTTTCAAGTGCCTCTCAGAGCATGAAAAAATTTCTGGGTTGAATGTGATTCCAATATTCAAATGCACTTTATTTCTCATAAAACCTAACTTACACTAAAGAAATAAAGATGTGCTCCATGGGTAGAGGAAAAACTAGTGTTGGTGCGTCCACTGAGAAACAGTATAACTAAACAGGGCTAACAACTGACAATCATGCTTATTATAGTTTGGGGTTATTTCCAGGTAAATTTCGCTAAATGTGCTTTTCATTATATTGACTGACTTAGATTCTAAACTCTATGTAAAATATGACTTCACTGCTCTCTACACAATGATAATCTGCTTAAATTACCCAATTTATTGCTTTAATCCTTTTTTCACTGGGACTGTGAATTTACTCATGGCCAGTAGTATCAGTATCAGATGAATCTGCTAATGGTTGAGAACATTTTAGACTGGAAAAATGCTCTGTAGTAGAGATCTGTAAGCCCACTAAGACAGTTACCAAGTCTTTAATGGAGATTATCGCAAGACACTAACCTTACCAAATATTTAAATTTGAAACTTCAGTGTTACCTCTTCTCAGCACATGAGTAGTATTCAGTTTCTTTGGAAAAAGTTATGTATATGAGTAAAAATAGAAAATATTTTCACAATCACAATGGGGCAGATTCTTGGTGTGCTGGGTTATTTGTCTGCCAATTATTTATTCAGAATATTCTACTGTTAGGTATATGAGGAGGAATCAATACAGTCACATGCTTCCTTACCCTCTTAAAGTTCATGCAGAGAAAGGCAGATCTTAATTAACATTTCCACAAATAAAAGTAAAATGACAACAAAATATAATGAGAGAGAAGTACACATAATAACAGTGGGTCAGGCAATGAATTTTTGTTGTTAGCTGCCACTGAGTCAGTTCTGACTCTAACAATCCTATGTACAGAGCAGAACTGTTTCACAGGGTTTTCAAGTTCTAGACCCATCCCTAGAGGTATAGGGCTCTGGGGCTTCCAACTGTCAATCTACAGCTACTAGTTGAGCACTTAATGGGTTGCAACACACAGGGATTACTGAACTGAAAGATGTAAAATATTACTGGATGAAAAGGATAGACTGAATGAACTAACACAGTCTCATGACAAATACTGAGTAAGACCATTATTGTAAAGAAGGACATGTAGTAAAACATGGGAGGCAAAGGGGTGAGGGTAGATAGGTGTGAAACCACAGGGCTACTCAGTTTGGTGGGCAGAGAGGGGAAGCAAATGAGAAAGATACAGGAGAAAAGACAGGGTAATAATGGGCAAAGTCCAATGGTGATTGATTTTACAAAACATAA